AAAAAAAAAAAAAAAAAGAAATCATCATCTTTAGTGACCAGAGGGATCCATTTTTTTTGCTATAGAAAATAGCTTCTCCGGCTGTGCCTATGGCTTAGTGAATAGGGCGCTGGCCCCATATACTGAGTGTGGCAGGTTCGAACCTGGCCCCAGCCAAACTACAACAAAAATAGCTGGGTGTTATGTCAGGCGCCTGTAGTCCCAGCTACTTGGGAGGCTGAGACAAGAGAATCACTTAAGCCCAAGAGCTGGAGGTTGCTGTAAGCTGTGATGCCACAGCCCTCTACTGAGGGCAACAAAGTGAGACTCTGGGGTGGCTCCTGTGACTCAAAAGGGTAGGGCGCCAGGCCCATATGCTGGAGGTGGCGGGTTCAAACCCAGCCCTGGCCAAAAAAAAAGTGAGACTCTGTCTCTGAAAAAAAAATAAAAAAAAGAAAATAGTGTCTCCTTCATATGCAACAAATAAGCAAGTTTACTCATCTTTGCCTTGCTATTTTTTTTCCACCTGTAGTCCCAGCTACTTGGGAGGCTGAGGCAAAAGGATCACTTGAGCCCTAGAGTTTGAGGTTGCTGTGAGTAACACGGTTAATCAGGGTGAGAAAGTGAGACTCTGTCTCAAGACAAACAAAGAAACAAAAACAGAACAAAACCTTCACAAAATAAACAGAAAATCATGTTCACCTAGTGCCAGTTAGAAAATGGTAGGTTCAGGAGCTGCCTTCAAATCATTTCAAAGCATGTTGTCTAGTGGCTGGGACAGTGATTCTCAAGGGAAGAGCTCTAAGTTTTGAATTTAAGATTTCTCTCTACCACTTAACCTGATTGCGCCATCTGGCCTGGGGCAGGCTACTTCACCTCTTTGGACTTAATGGTCCTTTTTTTCTTTTTTTAAGACTAGTCAAGTGTAATAGTGGGAAGTAGGGGGAGAGTAGAACAAGGAGTTTGCTCTGTTACTGTAAACCAGTAGTTCTCAACCTTCCTAATGCCGCGACCCTTTAATGTAGTTCCTCAAGTTGGGGGTCACGGCATTAGGAAGGTTGAGAACCACTGGTGTAAACAATCCAGTGAGACAACTCATCCCCTGCGAACCAGCCTGTGTCCTTCTTTAGGAGATAAATAACTGCTCTGTTGCTTCACCCCCAGCCTTGCTCTGAGCATCAAGCAGGGGAATGTACATGAAAGAACGAAGAAAACTGTGAGGGAGAGACCCTAGCAGGAATTGCAGATGTGCTCTTTACTATACACAGCAAAGGAAACCTTTTAAAAATTACTCATTCATTTGAAAAATTCTTAAAAAGTACAAATAAGTGGCTTGGCACCTGTGGCTCAAGTGGCTAAGGCGCCAGTCACATACACCTAAGGTGCTGGGTTTGAATCCAGCCAGGGCCTGCCAAACAATAATTATGGCTGCAACCAAAAAATAGCCAGGCATTGTAGTAGGCACCTGTGGTCCCAGCTGCTTGGGAGGCAGAGGCAGGAGATTCGCTTGAGCCCAGGAATTGAAGGTTGCTGTGAGCTGTGATGCCACGGCACTCTACCCAGGGGGATAGCTTGAGGCTCTGTCTCAAAAAAAAAAAAAAAGTACAAATAAGTTAAAGGAAGACAGTAAGATTTACCTGTAATCCTACTAACAACTGAATAGTGTTCTGCTTTTTTCTGTGCAAGAACAAACATGAAAACAAAAAGCAAACAAAAAACCTAGATCATCGGGGTGGCCCCTGTGGCTCAAAAGGGTAGGGCGCCGGTCCCATATGCCACAAGTGGTGGGTTCAAACCCAGCCCTGGCCAAAAAAAAAAAAAAAAAACCTAGATCATATGGCTCACTGTATTTTATAATCCTTCTTTTCACTACGTCATGAACATTTTCCATGGCATTGAATATTCTCCTGCAAACTCATCTTTAGGGTCTACAAAGAATTCTGTTGTCTGGCTGTCCCGCCACTCACCTGCTGACTCTCTGTATGGCCATTATTTTTTCTTGGTAGCACTCCGCTTCCCTAAGTATGGGTATAACTTCACATTTGTTAGCTTGGGAGTCCGAAGTCTGTTAAATAGCATTAGTTGGCTTGGCGACTGTGGCTCAAGTGGCTAAGGCGCCAGCCACATACACCTAAGGTGATGGGTTTGAATCCAGCCTGGGCTCGCCAAACAACAATGATGGCTACAACCGAAAAATAGCGCTGTGGTGGGTGCCTGTGATCCCAGCTAGTTGGGAGGTGGAGGCAGGAGACTCACTTGAGCCCAGGAGGTTGCTGTGAGCTGTGATGTCACGGCACTCTACCCAGGGGGATAGCTTGAGGTTCTGTCTCAAAAAAAAAAAAAAAAAGATAAATAGCATTAGTTCAACTGAGATAATCAGAGTCTGGACCTGAGGCCAGTCTGTCCCCAGGATAGGTGTCTCTCCGTATGTGTTTGTGGTCCTGCCAGATTCGTGTGCTCTAAGGTGCTGATTGTATTTTGTATATTTATTTATTCCCTTGCCCAGTGAATGTACCCAGCCCTATACTAGCTACTATGAAGATATACTCTCATTCTCAAATAGCAGACAAATCAGAAAAAGAGAAAAGAAAGTAGGGAACAAAAAATGAAATAGAAGGAAAGTTGGCCTCCAAATGAATGGGCACACAGTATAGCAGCTGAGATGATTCGTGGGAAAGTGCTAGAGTTGGTGTGAGAAGGCTTGGTTTTGAATTCTGGCTTCTACTGTCTGAGAGGGTAAAGCTTTAGCACTCTGAACCTCAGACTCCTCTTCTGAAAAAATGCCTGGCACATGAGTGGCCGATTCTAACATAGCTTCTCCTAAGATAATAGATGTGAATGTGCCTAACACAGAAGGTACTCACACTTTTTAAAAGATGTTAGAACTTCCTGGGATGGTGGAAGGACCTTCTTGAGTTTCAGCTTCTAAGGCCTCTGCTCCACCTGGCTGTTGTGTAGGCTGGTGTTTCCTCCCTGCTACTAGGGCATCTAAGGCTGTGAGTCGAGTTGATCAGGCTCCCAGGAGCCCAGGAGGCAGGTCTGACGGCTGCTCTGCTTGCCTGCAGTGACCGGCTGGCCCTCCTCCAGGTGAGGAGGATCCTGCAGCAGCTGGGCCTGGACAGCACGTGTGAGGACAGCATCGTGGTGAAGGAGGTGTGTGGAGCAGTGTCCCGGCGGGCGGCCCAGCTCTGTGGGGCTGGCCTGGCTGCCATAGTGGAGAAAAGGAGGGAAGACCAGGGGCTTGAGCACCTGAAGATCACCGTGGGTGTGGATGGCACCCTGTACAAGCTGCATCCTCAGTGAGTGCCCACAAGAGGCGGGGTGGGGGATGCAGGGCAGGGGCGGTGCTGGGGGCTGAGTGCGGACATGGCTTAGTCTCCTGGGCTACAGAATGGGAAGTTGTGACCCTGTCCCTTTATGGGAAAGAAGTGCTGTGTGGTGAAGTCACAGGTTAAATCTGATAGACAAGATAGATGTGAGCCCTGGGGCCTCTGCTTCCTGGCAGCACAATGTGGGCACATTAGCCAGCCTCTGGGCCTAGGTTTCTCATCTGTAAAAAGCCAGCAGTGATAATCCTTACCTCCTAGGGCTGAGTGCATGAGGATTAAATGAGTTAATATCTGTAAAGTGCTTCACACAGTGCTCAAAAAACATAGTTTATTATTATATTTTCACCCAAACTCACAGGGTAGTAATAAGAACTGATTCTTTGCATAGCACAAGGCATTAGTCAAGTATAAGCTTTTCATAATTTCCTGAGCTCAGAATGGTGGACAGAAGTATTAAGAACTCTGTCAGGCAAAGGAGATTTGAATCTTGGCTCCACTACTTGGAAGTGGAAGGGCCAGGACCAGTTTCTCCTCTCTCTTTCTCTCTCTCTCTCTCTTTTTTTTTTTTTTTTTTTTGAGACAGAGCCTCAAGCTGTCCCCCTGGGTAGAGTGCTATGGCTTCACTGCTCACAGCAACCTCCAACTCCTGGGCTCAAGCGAGTCTCCTGCCTCCGCCTCCCAAGTAGCTGGGACCACAGGCGCCCGCCACAACGCCCGGCTATTTTTTGGTTGCAGCCATTATTATTGTTGTTTGGCGGGTGTATGTGGTCCCCCGCTTGAGCCACAGGCGCCGAGCCATTCTCTCTCTCTTTTTAAAAACCATCTCCCAGCTTCAGTTCTTTTTCTCTAAAATTAGAACAAAAATTAGACCTATTTTGGGTGGCCCCATATGCTGGAGGTGGAGTGTTCAAACCCAGCCCCAGCCAAAACATGCAAAAAAAAAAAAAAAAATTAGACCTATTTCATGAGTTGTGAGGATTAAATAATAGTATCTATAGAGTATGTGGCACTTCACAAAAATGTCAATAACAAAAGCTTTTTTATTTTTCCTCGAGACAGAGTCTCACTATGTCACCATCGGTAAAGTGCTGTGTCTTCACAGCTCACAGCAACCTCCAACTCTTGGGCTTAAGCAATTCTCTTGCCTCAGCCTCCCAAGTAGCTGGGACTACAGGTGCCTGCCACACGCCTGGTTATGAAACTTTTGTTTTTATTCAATGTTTTACATTTTGTTTTAGTGAAAAGTGTTAACCAGGTTGGACCTATTTCCAATCATGCTGAAATGTATTCATGAATATATCATTTTTATTTTATTTTATTTTATTTTATGTTTTTTAGAGACAGAGTCTCGCTTTATCACCCTCGGTAGAGCACTGTGGCATCACAGCTCACAGTAATCTCCAACTCCTGCACTTAGGTGATTCTCTTGCCTCAGCCTCCTGAGTAGTTGGGACTATAGATGCCCGCCACAATGCCTGGCTATCTTTTTGTTGCAGTTTAGTGGGGCCAGATTTGAACCTGCCACCCTCAGTATATGGGGCTGGTGCCCTACCCACTGAGCCCCTGGCGCTGCCCGAATCTATCATTTTTATAATCACAAATCCTTAGCCCTTCATATGCTGCAGAATAATTATTAAAAATAACAAAATTGGGGCTCGGTGCCTATAGCTCAAC